AGATAAGAGTGACTAAAGTGATAACAGATGAGTAATTTATGAAATAATTTTTGATAACATTTATTGCAGCAAAGATAATCTTATCGTAAAAATAATAACTTAAAATTAGCCTTAAAAGCTTATTTTGTTTTGTTTATGAATCGTTATTTTTATACTGACCCTAATGGTTTAACTGATCGGATAAAATAAAAATTTATATTAAATTAAAACGCTATAAAAAATATATCAATGAAAGTTTCCTTGACAAGCTTGCGGGAAGGAAAAGCGAAGAAAGTGCCGTTTAACCATGAACCTCTTCGTTGCATAAGCGAAAAATATATTGGGTTGTCCGGAAAATAATGCAGGATTTTGGTATTAAACAAAAAAAAAGAAACTAGTTACTTTAAAGCAATGTTCTTTAATCAAAATAATTTCCCATACTCTCAATACATTTCTCCCAACGTGTTGGTAACTTATTTATTCCGTCTGAGTAGAATTCAGAATTTTTAGAATTGATAAAGTCAATAAATGCATTTTCCAGTTCCGTTTGATTTTTGAATATTATGTGTTGTAAGTAGTGGTCCAGGTGTCTAAAAAAATGGTAGTCAGTAGGCGAGAGGTCCGGAGAGTAGGGTGGGTGAGGCAAAGTTTCATAGCCAAGCTCCAATAATTTTTGTGACGTTACACGTGACACATGTGGTCGAGCGTTGTCATGCAACAAAATGGGCCCTTTCCGATTGACCAAAGAGGGCTTCATTACTGCCAATTTCTGATGCATGGTATTAATTTGGTTACAGTATGATTCAGCATTGATGGTTTCGCCAGGATTTAAGAAGCTGTAGTGTATTAAACCAAATGAAGCCCACCATACCGTAACCATTACCTTTTTTTGATGAGTTGGGGGCTTTGGAAAATGTATTGGAGCTTCTCCTTTGTCGAGCCACTGTCCAGAACGTCTAGTGTTATCGTAGAGAATCCACTTTTCGTCACATGTAACAATTCTGGCCAGAAATGGGTCATTTTTGTTTCGACAAAGAAGTGATGCACAAACATCAAAGCGCTGATTTTTTTGGCGATCGTTTAATGAGTGTGGAACCCAATTTTCGAGTTTTTTCACTTTTCCAATCGCCTTGAGGTGGTCAGCGACGGTCGTTTTACTGACTTTGAGTTGCTCTGCAAGTTCTCGAACAGTTGTTTTGGGGTTTTCTTCCACCACTGATCGCAGAACATCATCATTAAGAGAGGAAGGCCTTCCACGACCTTCTTCATCTTCAAGGCTGAAATCTCCCTCCCGAAATTTTTTAAACCACCTTTGCACAGTGCACTCATTAACACAACCCTCGCCCCAGACTTGGTTAATGTTTCTAGCCGTTTGGGCTCCGCTTCGGCCGAGTTTAAACTCGTAAAAGAAAATCGTACGAAATTCTCGCTTTGACAATATAAGGATGACTGAATTATTTCCAAGTAGCGGAATGCTACAGAGGTAAACAAACAATATCATTTGGAAGAGGATTAATAAGTGTTGACATTCATACAAATGAGTAATCCTGTAAACGTAAACAGAATATTTTATATAGATTTTTTTGAATGAAAACTTAAAATCCTGCATTATTTTCCGGACAACCCAATACATTAATTGGTTGCAAGCTGCATAAATATAATTAAACTCTATCAAAATTCTCGCAAAGGCAAACAAAAAAATGAATTAATCACTCAGGCCAAATGGCAAAAATGTTTTTTTGAATTCACAATGAACAACAACAGTTCAAGGTAAAACCATGATTGATTAAAAACACCTGTAATTATAAGCGGGTCATGAACTTTAGATCTTTGCATCGTTATTAAATTGCTATTCTTGTCTGTTAAAAAATAGCAAGGTTATGAATTTCGTCTGGCTACAATTTTTTTTTTCTTGAGCTCTACTTAGTGGTGAAGCTGTAACTTTGTCGTGTGTGATCATTTTGGTTCGCCTATCCCCGCTGTTTCTGTCGAGCTGTTTCGCAATGAGAGGACTCTGCAGACTGAAATGACTCTACCGATCCATTTGAAATTGTACAGGTAGAGTTAAAACCAAAAATAATGGCGTGAAGGTCACTTTCGTAAATATGTGAGATCTTGATAAATCAATTAAATGTTTGAATAGTTTTTGTTAACTTCGTCACTATTCTGTTCATTTATAACCACATAAAAGCTAAACTTTGTTGGCATAACCTGAAAGTATAAATAGGAATTTGGATAGAATCCAAAGGTATTATAAATTGCTAGTACACCGGAAATTGGAAGGATAAAATGCCTGACCCTCCCCATCTCTAAAACATTCATATTCAACATTTTTAAAGGTGCTTAAAACGAATCCAAACTTTTTTGGTTTACTTTTGTTTTGTTTTTTAAATGTTTTATATATTTAAACTCATTTAATACAATCTTGCATACAATTTTCTTACCTTGTATAATAAATCTGATATAAATAATTTGAGTTAGTTAGTTAAAGTTTATTTAGTATGTAATGTGATACATAAATTGGAAAAAAGTAAAAAAGTAAAAATGGCTGAGGCAATAGCTACTTCCGAGTGGCATAGAAATTAAAATATGTTTGCAAGAATTACTAATTTAGCCAAAATAAATAAATAAAAAGTGGGGAAAAATTTATTTAGAAAAAAATATTGTTTACTTTATTACAATTTTTAAGCTAAATACACATTTATTTTAATAGATATATAAATAATTTAATAAGTAAATAAATAATTTAATAAACAGATAATTGTTTCAATGACTAAATATATAAATATATTATATTAAAATGTGTTTGATTCGTCTGTGTTTCCAATTTTTGGAGAGCTTGCTCTTCCGTATGTTTACTGACTAGTTTGTACTCTCAAATGTGCTCATTTTAGATGATGTTATTAATGTTTAAAAATTTATTTTGAATTATTTGGATGCATTGTATGTTGGCCTTACTTGTATAACTCCACTTCAGAAGCGTATAACAGTATGGGTGTAACTGTTGTTTTATAAATAATTAACTTATTTTTGAAGTTCATCGCTGATTCTCGACAAAAAAAGGAAATAGAGCGTGATGGCACAGTTCCCTTTTACATATTTTTGCATGCGTTGATAGCAAAGTTAAATTTATTATCGAGTTTTAAACCAAAGTAATAGACACTATTATTGCAGGTTACATTTGAGTTACCAATTCTTCTAGTTTTAATGTTTAGGAAATCGTTTTGTGAACAATATTGCCTCGGTTTTGTAGTAGTTAGTCTAAGTTTCTGTCTAAGACAAAACTGAACGATCCTGAGGAGGTTACCTCTCGGTTTGTTAGTAATACTACTCTATGATAAACAATATAATACTATATCGTCAGCATTCATAGCAATTTCACAGTCAAGTCTAGGGTATGCATTTATAAATATGACGAACAAGTTTGGCCCTATAACTGAGCCTTGTGGGACTCCAGTATCAATATTATACAATGACGAGACAAGTTCGTTTGGAGTTACGTTCTGTTTTATAGGTACGTAGCCAGCGAAATTGTATGAATAATCCCGTTAAATAACTTTGAAATACATTTATAACGAAGGCCAAAAAAACCATATATATATATTTAAAAAAAAGATTATTTTCGCACTACTGAGCGACTTGTCTGCTCAAGATTACGCCAATTATTTCTCCATTGTCATTATATTTGCTTATTGTAGTTAATTTATTGGGTTGTCCGGAAAATAATGCAGGATTTTGGTATTAAACAAAAAAAAAGAAACTAGTTACTTTAAAGCAATGTTCTTTAATCAAAATAATTCTTATTAATTCCGTCTGAGTAGAATTCAGAATTTTTAGAATTGATAAAGTCAATAAATGCATTTTCCAGTTCCGTTTGATTTTTGAATATTATGTGTTGTAAGTAGTGGTCCAGGTGTCTAAAAAAATGGTAGTCAGTAGGCGAGAGGTCCGGAGAGTAGGGTGGGTGAGGCAAAGTTTCATAGCCAAGCTCCAATAATTTTTGTGACGTTACACGTGACACATGTGGTCGAGCGTTGTCATGCAACAAAATGGGCCCTTTCCGATTGACCAAAGAGGGCTTCATTACTGCCAATTTCTGATGCATGGTATTAATTTGGTTACAGTATGATTCAGCATTGATGGTTTCGCCAGGATTTAAGAAGCTGTAGTGTATTAAACCAAATGAAGCCCACCATACCGTAACCATTACCTTTTTTTGATGAGTTGGGGGCTTTGGAAAATGTATTGGAGCTTCTCCTTTGTCGAGCCACTGTCCAGAACGTCTAGTGTTATCGTAGAGAATCCACTTTTCGTCACATGTAACAATTCTGGCCAGAAATGGGTCATTTTTGTTTCGACAAAGAAGTGATGCACAAACATCAAAGCGCTGATTTTTTTGGCGATCGTTTAATGAGTGTGGAACCCAATTTTCGAGTTTTTTCACTTTTCCAATCGCCTTGAGGTGGTCAGCGACGGTCGTTTTACTGACTTTGAGTTGCTCTGCAAGTTCTCGAACAGTTGTTTTGGGGTTTTCTTCCACCACTGATCGCAGAACATCATCATTAAGAGAGGAAGGCCTTCCACGACCTTCTTCATCTTCAAGGCTGAAATCTCCCTCCCGAAATTTTTTAAACCACCTTTGCACAGTGCACTCATTAACACAACCCTCGCCCCAGACTTGGTTAATGTTTCTAGCCGTTTGGGCTCCGCTTCGGCCGAGTTTAAACTCGTAAAAGAAAATCGTACGAAATTCTCGCTTTGACATTATAAGGATGACTGAATTATTTCCAAGTAGCGGAATGCTACAGAGGTAAACAAACAATATCATTTGGAAGAGGATTAATAAGTGTTGACATTCATACAAATGAGTAATCCTGTAAACGTAAACAGAATATTTTATATAGATTTTTTTTAATGAAAACTTAAAATCCTGCATTATTTTCCGGACAACCCGATACAGTTGTAAATTTATAATAACACGAAAAAAAATCCTTTAAATAATTTTTTATCTTTGTTGATAGGTCCCATTGGCAAGAACGCTCGGACACGTATATCTTTCGACCTAGAAGCATCCCATTGTGAGTACATTCTTTAATCTATAATTTGTGTACTAATTTACCGAGTCGTCCCATTTATTTTTAATAAAAGCTTAAACGTAAAAATATATATGTGTTTACACGGGAAAAGGCAGAGGGCAACCGATGAAGATATTCTGACAGACCAAATCTATGAGTATAGTATTTCTTTGAAAGAGGGACAACAAAACTTGTTTAATTACATTTTTCGTGTGCTGTTCTCAAATCTAATTTAAATTTTAATCAGTATGAAATTTAGATATCATGACATCTGCCAGTATGCTTTGTATAGCCATTGTCAAACGAATGATATCTGCATAAACCTTTCTATCATTTTTTTCTCGAAATTATTGCGTGTTTTGACGTTAAATCACACTAAAATTACTCTTCATAAATATTGATTAGGACGTATTATTTAAATATTAATGTACGCGAATCGATATTAGGCAAATCGCACGGAAATAGATGCATACACGCATTTTTGACTTTATTATACTTCCATGCTTGTTTCAGACTTATTTTTAAATATAAGTTTACACGAAACTTATGTGTTTTAGATGTTTTTAGTGATAGTTATCACGGCATATAATAATAATTGTTTTCGACCTTCGTACTGTCAAGGTGAGCTGCACATTATCCAATTAAGTCGAAAATAACGCGGGTAGTGTGTTTAATTTATATGTCCCGAGTAATGAAAAACATCCTAATTTGAACGCGATAACAGTTCCCGATCAGAAACCATTTTCCTTGAGTGATTTTTTTTTTCGCACGTCATTTTATAAACGTTTTCCTGATTCTTTGTGCTCGGCTGATAAACAATCAATTTTCTCAGAGAAACTCCAAGGATTCCTACTTTTCCTAGCCTTCCACAGGAAAAAGAACATGAATAATGAAGAGTCACGATGAGCCCATTTAAAGTGCCAGAACGTCCGTCCGGTCGTGCTAATGTGATCCAGAGCGGGTCGGATTGCACAAGGAACGATCCCGGCGAGATGGTTGCGACAAAAAATACTTTCCTCTGATAAATCACACTGTGCATACGGGAGATCGACTCACACCTTGCCAAATGCCTTCTCAAGGATTTCCTCTTTTTATCTCCGCATGACTTTTTACATATATCCATATTTAATGAGTTCCAAAAGGTAAAACGGCCGGTTTTGATCATACAGGAAACATTTGTTTTTCTTTCCTGACCAGGGGATTCTCTGTTTGTTTTAAAAAGTTGAATTTTAACAATTAGATTTTAAATTGCAAATCATTCTTGAGGTCGAGATTGTGAACCAGTAGTTTTGTCATTTCTGTTCATCCTTGTCCGACTATCCTCTCTGTTGTCTGACGCGTTTCGACATTTCACCTTCTGTGAGTATTTCCATGTTGTCATCATTTGTATGTCCTAATTGCTCTTCTAATGGCTTCTTAGACGACCATTGCGTTTCTCCATCATCAGAGGTTATACTAAGAAGTCATCACAACATAAAATTAAAGTCATTACAATTCGTACTCCGATTGACCAATCAATATTTTTCAATTAATTAATATTTATGAAAGTTATTGGTCGAGATAAAAAAGGCAGTGTCACCAGCAGGATTCGAATAAAATTAAAGTTTAATAGTTTCTTAAAACATTAAAATTAAACATGTAATGCTTAAGTTATTAATGTAAATAGTTATTTAATTCTGGAAAAACTCATTTGTATAAATGAACTCTTTATAACTCCAACATAGGATTCAAAATGGTTGAGCCACTCACTCGTCCACTGCAACACGGACAGTTTCTAGTATATATTGTTCGACTCTTTTTTCAGTTCTCTTTTCAAACATTCGATTGTTGGGTATTTTACTCCTCCAACCTGACTACAATTTGTAGTCCAAAGGATTGAAATCTGTGTTGGCAGGAGGCACTCTTCTGCACCTTTCCAGATGATAAATTCAAGAAGTGCATACTTAACAGGCCTGGGTTGATTTCACCTTGTGTGCTGGAGCTGTTCCCTGTTGGATTATCCAGTGTTTTTTTTTTCAAAATAAGTATTAGTAAGGGACGACTACCCGATTTCATTTGGGTACGTACAACATTGCTTCTGTTGCAACCGTTTCACCACCTTCTTTACTATACTCCAGACTGTACTGTAAAATGGCATTTTTGGCAGTGTTTTCTCTGCTCGTCTCTCCCTGTTTATGTCTTTTTTTATAGAGTTTAGGTGTCTTCTTCGACGACTAATATTTCCCCCACTTTACCATATTCAATGGTTTCTTAAGAGTAATCAAAACCTAAAAACAAAAACCCCAAAGAATTTAGACACACAGGAAACTGACATTTCAACCAGTGGTTGGCATGTGCATCCCCCGTGTGTATGTCCTTTGTGTAAGGACTAATTGATTCTTACACCAACCACTTGAATATTATAAGATAACTATTGTGTTTTGCTATTGCGTTTTCAGTAGTGGACTCTACTGAAAAATGATATTTTTAGGCTTGATCTATGCTTCTGTCCGTTTTTATGCCCATTTTATGGGCTCTAATGACTTCTATGACGACGATTACGTATACCCTCTTCACCACCTTCAGTGGTTGCTTAACCTAAAAAAACCCCACAGGATTTAGACACACATGAAACTGACATTTCAAGTAGTGGTCGGCCTGTGCGTCTCTCCGTGTGCGTCCTTTGTATAAGTACTAATTGATTCTTAATACCAAGCAGGGAATAGAATAACTATTGTGTTTTGCTATTTCGCTGTCTTTAGCAGTAGACTATTCTGAAAACTGATACTTTTGGCGGTTGCTCTAAATGTCTCTCCGTATTTCATGGATTTTAATGGCTTATTAGGCTACTAATACTAAAAGACGATTAGATGACGTGTTTCGACATTTCACCATTTTCAAACGCTTGACTGTACTTGAAGCTGTTATTTTGGTCTATGGTCTGTGCGTCTCCTTCTGAGTCCTATTTTATATTCTAACGAATAGATTCTAACATTCTCTCACTCACTCATTCTATGTCTCTGTCTCTCTCTCTCTCTCTCTCTCTCTCTCTCTCTCTCTCTCTCTTTCTCACGCACAAACACACAATCATTGCTGGACACAACTTGAATATTCTTGATTTACAGACGCGAAATATTCGACGCGATATTGTTTGTTCGATTGGTAATATTTGTAAGAACAATATGTGAGAAAATGTTCTCCTAGCTATTTGCATTTTAACTCCCCGTAAAATTATAAATAAAGGCCATTGGAAATAAAATTTTGCATATGCACACTTCTTCGGAATTTTTCAATTTATTTTATACTACCATGTCGTGTTATTATCTTTTACTTGTTTTAATTTCGCCGGTTACGGTGGGGAATCTTATGGTTGCACAACAATTATAAAATGCGGCAGGAGGAGAAGTGGCAAGGACGATTGTTGCCCAAATGGTTAACAAAGCTACATTTTCTCAGCAATGTTTTTCGCGATCGGCTTCATCCACCTCGATGCACGCTTCAGTGGCGACGCTTCTCACTGGGTTTTATATAAAAAAAAATAACAACAACGAACAATTAAATAAAACACGAACGGACCGTCTTTATTATCCTTATCGTACGATTCGTGCAATATGAATTGATTTTGATTGACTAATATTTTATCATAGATTTTTCTGTTCGCTTAGAAAAAAGAAAAAAATTGAGCGATTTGTGTGAAAAAAATGTTCGTTGTATATTTGAGATGTCGTTTCGGCAAACAAATGACATTTACTTTCTTTAAACCTACGTGAACATGGAAGCAATCAGGAAAGAAGGACACGGTTAGCAAACCGCAGGTTCTGCGGATTTCAATAAGTTCTCACTTGCGCAACTTGACGACGGCTTTTGCCAACGCAAAATCACATTTTGTAAAGTGTGTGCTATTTTTTTCTCTTTACTGTTTAGAAAATTTTTTCTAACATGGCCCACTTACGACTGGACCGCTTTCGTTCTCGACCGACTGGTAGTCCTAATTCTTACGAACCGGGAATCGGAGATCCACGAGATCCCGCTGTTTTGCGCCATCCTTTTGATATATCATCGTTATTTAATTACTGTAATTTATATAAATTATTGGCCGAAATTCCATCAATTTGGATGAATTAAAATTGGTATCGGATAATTTTAACTTCACTTTTCTTTTTCACGTCACCTATTTTAAACACACAGGTTTTTGTGGTTCAGATAAACTTTCTACCTAAATCCTTTTTTTTGTCAATTGATTAACGAATTATTTTAAATGAATATACCTTAGTGTTATGCATTGTAACTGCATTGGCTATGTCAAATAAAAGCGGACAAACGTGAATTATTGGGCTGGAGCATAATTTATTAATACGATTAACATTTCAAAATGTTCCTTATACTTTTTATTCCTTTTAAAATGTTTTTTCCTTCAAAACTTTACATGTTATCTTTCTTAACATAAAAGCGGTTCAAACAATTAGAATTTTGAAAAGACAAACCATTTAATTATGAATTAAGTATTTAAAGCCTAAATTTAATTAAAATTGAAATCTATATATAAGATGCCATCTTATGGGAGCTCCCTTGTTTTAGTAAAAAAATTAAACCGTATTTTGTTAGCATAAGGTCTACTCTCAAATGACCTTTGATTTTTCAATTATGATTTTCAAATGAAAACTTTCATTTTTATTTGAGAATTCATGACGTGTTTCGTCCGAATAAATCGGTTTAAGAATGAAAGATGTATTTGTTTAATATTAGAATTATTTAACTCGAATTTTTTTTCTATATTTTTATTTCAACGCGTGTTAAACAGTTATAAAATTAGTCAAATAAATGTTTCATTTTTAAAACAATTTATTTGGGCGTAAACATTAAGTTAATTCGATTTTCGAATTTCACCCGATTTAATAAATAAACGGTAAAAAAAGTTTTTTCAAGTTGCAACTTAATTTTCATCTGGGGATTCATCAAGTCAATTCGATTTTTTGGAAAATTGCAAAAAACCATTTGAAAATCGGTTCATAAAAACATAAAGT